GAAGTCATTCTGTTTGGTAGTACTTGAGAAAAATGTGACAAAAACACGTGTTGGGCAAATGGATGGAAGAACGTGATGTATTTTCCATTAAGTAGGGGTATACTTACTAGTAGAATGATTTTCTAGCGATCTGTGTAAACGCAAATCCGTACGTTCATAGTTATTGGAAGAATTTGTCAAGTTACAAACTATGAATGGAGTATTGCGCAGGTCATTTGATTCTTCAACCCATTTTTAGATGGATATAAGTAAACTTACTCTGTATCAAAAAGTAAACAAAAACATAGTAAAATCAAACGGTTACTTGTCGATATCATGTTGTCAAAAGCCAAAACAATGTGTAAAAATTTCACAAAATACTTAAAAGCAAACTAAATTATGTCGACTGTCGTTAGCTTGACGATCAAATGATTGACAGGCAACTATATCATAACAACAACGTTGTTGACGGCTACTATATGAAAATAACTAAAACCTTAAAATCGAAATCAAAATTGACACATAATCTCATGTTTGAGATACCAAAATTTGAAGAAAATAGAATTTGACGGAATCAAAATCTCAAGATTTTTTATAGGAAAAAGTATGAGGGGAAAAAACTATTAAAAAGTGTTGCACAAAAGTAAAAATTTGTTAGACATTTTTTTTTTGATGCAGGCTTTTAAAAGATGACAAATAAAGGGATTGCCTGACAAAAAGTCAATTCATTGCGTAGAAAGAAGTCAGGGAACGGGATACCAATTATTGAGAACAAGCTTAAAATTTGTGTAGAGTCAATCCAAAATGAAGAATACATATTTTAAATCAACTATGCTTATTTATCATGATTCGGTAATACGTGCAATGTTGACCTTGTTCAAAAACTATTACTATAATAATAAATAGAAAGAGATAAATGCAATTTAACTTTTTTCAATATTGACATAAAATTACAAGTAAATAGATTGTGTCAATGCTGGAATGTTTGTTCCATTTGTGGAGATATAATCATGCCTGATTGTACATTTTCATATATGGGTGCATCTTGATCTGACAATTCGACATAATCGTGTGGTGCATTTAAGTCTCTATTCTGTTCAAGGTCATCATATGTAATAACTCCAAAATCTACATCTATTGTAGACATATACTGTCTATGTCGACTTCTTTTTTGTGACTCTTTTGTCTCCATATTTAGTTTCCTCCAAAATTTCCAAATACAATAAGAAATAACTATAACTAGAATAATAAATAGCAGTCCACCAAATGAACCACCGAAAATAATTATCAGTGTTATACTCGGAAAATTTTTTGTATTTGTATAACTGTCCTTTTTTGAACGGAAATACACGGTTAATTCGACTACTATTTCATTAGTTTCGTCCTGACATACAATGATGAGCTTATATCCTAATGTTGAATTACTTTTCGTATAGTTGGATACCAGTAAATATGCCTCTGTAAATTAAAAGAGCTGTATTCAACAGTGATCAGTTATGTTTATTTAATATTTACAACTTATTAACAGATAAAACTCGTACCATAATAAAAGGTACAGCGTGTCTTCATAAATTTACCCAAATTACTTTAAAAATTGTAACATAATAATGATTATTTTCGAAAATTTGCAAGAATGAAAAGATTTGAGATTGAGTTCATCCCCGTTTTTATTTGGTATTTTATATTTTTTTTGGCTGGGTTCTTAAAGTAAAATTTCTAGGTTTTTAGTGTTATGTTATATCAACTCTCGTTGGTCTTTTTGCCGGTTTTTTTTTTTTTTATTGCCATGGTTTTATCTGCGTTTGTTTTATTTTTATATAGGATTGTCAAAAGCCTCTGCTATCTCGATGAAGCTCTTAGCAGTTCCTGAAAAAACATTTTTTTACTTTTTGTTATTTGATTGATTGTTTCCAGAAATTGAGACGGCAAGAAAACTAGTTTCTCCTGAATGATTTTACAGGAGAGAAAAACTAGTTTCTGCTTAGTGATTTAACAGGAGAAAAAAACTAGTTTCTGCTGAGTGGTTTAACAGGAGAGAATACGCAAAAGCTGAATTTGTGTATTTAGAAAAAAGATCATAAAAAGTAAAATAACAAAAAATAACGAACTCCAAGGAAAATACAAATCGGAAAGTCTCTTATAAAATGGCAAAATCAAAAGCTCAAACACATCAAACGAATGGAAAATAACTGTAACATGAATCATTGGTTTCCAGATTAACATGATTGCAGATTCATACAGCCATTGCAATTTATAATGAACATCCTTCTTAGCACTGAAAAAAATGGCTGGACGATTAAAGTACGGGTGACTATATATTTATAACTTTCAACATGTACTGCTTTTATTTCTATTTGGATATATGGGAAATTCAAATCGGGTCATCGTTGTCATAAATATGTATTAATAAAACTTTTCCACGATTAATGATCAGCGTAATTCTGTTTGTGTGATTGGTTTATAATGACTGATTATAAAACTTTTAAATTATATACCATTGCTGTCAATTTCTAAAACTAATTCATCTGTCGAAGGAGATATTTTACTCAAAATGCATGATACGTTATCGTCTGTTGGATCCTTTACATTGAACAAGTGAAACCTGGAATTTTCTTGAAGGTTTTGAGGGTCAATGCTTAATTCTTTTGCTTTTGGTAAATCTGTCACAACAGGTGGCTATAAAAAAAACCAGAAAGAAAAAAACATTTTATTAATAATATTAGGAGCCAGTCTGCAAGAAAGTCATGCAATGTTATCATATTGACCTGGGTTTTGCATTCATGAAACCTTCATGGCAACTGCTCTCTGTGCAAAATATTTTTGCAAAATATTTCATAGTAGTATCTTTATGGAGCGCCATCTATGTATAGACATTTATGGTCAAAATAAAGCTGCTTATTAGCCAATTTCAGAAGTTTTAAGCTGACAAATACCAAGGTTTATTTACATGTTACTGTTTTATGTTGTTATCCTGTTTTTCAACTTTCAAAAAAAGTGAATACCTCAGGTTAATTTTTTTTCCCTATATTTGCTCATTCTAGTCTTAATATCCGATGTTTCACGAAACTGCTGAAATGGTGAAATGTACTTATTTTTAAGTCTATTCTTTCTGAGGTGGTAAAAATATTTGAATGCCATTTGATTTTTCTTTAACCCTAATCAGATATCTACAAAATTTTAAATAACTCCTATTTCGGCAAGCGAACAAATACTTAATGTAAGATTATTAGTTTGAGAGGAATTGTGGTTTCGCAGGTGCTATCATATATTGATGACATTTCTGATATTTGGACCTGTCAATAATCCCCCTCTTGAGCCTCACCTAGTAGAAATTAAATATATGATGCATACTTCAAAAATTGAATTAATATATCATACACATTTTAAATAAAACTCTTTAGTGGTTGGAGAGGAGTTGCAGACCACTGGTAGATAAACTACATCACTACATATTTTCTCCTTTTAGGTCCGAAGTTTCTTTAATAAACCCTCAATAGATAAAACAAACATATGGTGCACAATTTTACACCCCTCACAAGACATATCATTAGTTTGGTTTAAATTCATTCTCTACTTTGGGAGGACTTAAGGATTGTAGATATATTACAAACAAACAGACGGACAGACAGACAGACCGACATTATGAATATTAAATATCCACCAGCTATCACATTGTATCACCAGCATGGGTATCATAACTCTTTACAAAAGGCTCAAATAAATTCAGGACAGCCAATAATTACAGTTCAAGCTAGTCCTTCTGACCTGTTTTGTAATTTGTTAAAAGAAGAGCGCTGATGATTTTTTCTCTCACTATTCTGGATACTCGTATGAATTTTTCTAATGGAATAAGACATGAGGAGAAATTTTTTAACTCATCAATTACTATATATAAATTAATCAGAGGCTCATGCGCTCATCTTGGTCTGTGTACACATTCAACAAAGGACACTCTCCAACATTGTAGACAAGAAAGAATTTATGACAAAAATCTCTGTTTTGTTGATCTTGTATTGCTGATCATTTAGTTTGTTTAGTTTCTCTCTATCTGCATTAGTTTTTCCTCAAAAAACAAAAGAGGGGAGAAAACCTCATTTAAAGGCGATCACTCCTTTAAGAATTGACTGTCTACTTACTATATTGGCAAAGTTGTCTTGTTTGTAGCTCTTGCCTTGAGGATAATTTTTGTGATTTGAAGTGTCTATTCATCTACATATATTATAATTTTTATCATATAAGACAAAATGCAAAAAACAAAAATGGTATTAATCATAGTTTAAGGGTAATAACTCTTTCCTCCATATTGTCTTAGTTGTAGATCTTGACTTGCTGATAATTTTTGCTTATTACGACGGACGATGTACGCCAAGAATATAATGTTATTTGATGTTTTATAATCACGATATATTTTTATTATGATTATCGATCTTTACTCAGTTGAGGAGGTATCTAAAATACAGGTACTCAATGCGCCATATGACTCTCAAGGAAATATAATTAAAATGGTATAAGCCATAACCACGTTACGTCTACCAAAGACTAATCAGTGAAGCTTGAATACAAAAAGGTCACACAACATAAACAAAGCATGAAATTGAAGAGCATTAAGGAAAGGTCTTGCCAAATACAGATAAAATTAAATAAAATACTCCAAAACAACACATTATCATTATTAAGACAGATTTTCGAAAATCTTGACTATAAATTGGGAACATGGTTAATTTCATTTCACATAATGAGGGAGAAATACTATTACACAAATTATATAATTGGTAGGTCCTCACATCCAATATTGTAATCATCCCTAAAACATTGATATCCATAACAGAACTTTAAAAATTCGGGATTGACTCAAGTGCCAGACAAACAAAATTTTAACCACTTTTAAAATCAACCAAATATTTCGCTTTACGGTATAAATAAAAAAGAATGATATAAGCCATCGTAAATTGGAAATTCAAAGTCAAGAGAAGTAAATTTCAACTATTTGTTGTTTGGTTTATGTCAATACTTACAGCATTGTACACTATTATGGTGGTGCTAACTTTAGCAAAATTGAAGCACGAGTCTTGAACTGTAAACGTATAGTTTAGAGTTGCATTTTGTTTTCCTTTAATGTGTGGTAGTGAGGTCTTTACATGTACACTTCCTGTAATGAAAAAGAAAACAATCAAGTGAGAGGTTAAGCCAGCTATAAAAGCAGGTTTAATCACAATTTCCAAATAAGGAAATGCGCTTTTGAATTTGCCATGTGAGAAGCATGATAAGGGAATTTCCGTTTTGAATTTTCCTTGGAGTTCGTTTTTTTTTTGTATGACTGTCACCAACTTTGGCTATATCCAAGTTCAATACATTTTGTTCTAGTTCAACTTACATTACTTAGCGCCCATAAAATCTGTTTTCCAATTTCAAACATATGTTTCATCCAGAATAAAATATAAGAATAAAAATTAAAAAGTTTAGGAATTTTCTGATTTTCTATATTTAAAAACAAATAATTGATAAAAGACGTAAAAAAACTTAAATAACATTTACACTTTTACAGCACTTGGTCGATACCGTTGCTGGTGAACAATAAGTTCCCGAGCGTATCATCAGCTTAGTAGTCAGTAAATTGGGCGTGACTTGATTTATAACAAACCTTTCTAAAACTGTCTGTTCATAAATTCATAAATCATTTTAAAACTGAGGTTTCAACTTCACGATACAAAGTTGACCTTAGATAAATATGATTATAATTTAAGGGTCTTTTTTGTCATAGCTTAAGAAAAGCAACTGTAAATTTCAAAACATAAAAACACATATTTAAATCTCCAATTCTTTCCGATACCTGAGCCTTATGTTTTGAATGCGATGTTATGCCATTTTTATATACTAGTATCCAACAACAGCTATAAAAATTACAGAGAATGATAAATAATCTATAGAAATTACTAGGATCAACAGGCCATAATAAGCGTACGGTGACTATATTGAATTGGTGGAAGCCTGTAATACTTACTTAACTTTGTATCAAAGTAGAAATATTGGTTGTCATAGTCAAATTTTATATTCTCAACAAAATCTCCGAAATCTGGGTCTAGAATTCGAATACTCGTGACATAAGTGTCTACTGCAGAATGGTCCGGGATGTCAATTAATTCATCTGCTAACTGGAATTCAATCGGCACGTCTGCAATAAAAAATCAATTCCGAATTGATTAATGAAGTCCCGGTTGAAATACGATTGAAACATATTATAATGTGATTACCGTGCGCATAACTTTGGTTTCTTTAACTACCTCCAACAGGTTCATGACATAAAATTTGAAAATTAAAAAAAGATCATAACTTTGCGAGCTTAATAACGACAAAAGCCTATAAAGAACTGCCAAGCCGTCATCTGACGCATTGTCTGAAGAAGGTTCAACTTTCTTTCAGTAGTTTATGATATAAGGAAATGGGAATTTACAATCCAAATGTTTGTTTTTCACCAAGAAAAACATATACAGTACATCTACTTGTTTTTCTTTCTTTCTGTATTGCTGAGTCTCCTTTTTTCGAAACGTTTCAGCTACATAAAATAATAATCTTACTTCCAGTTGTAGAAAAGTTTAACGCAAATATTTTGTCAGATATTGTAAATAAGCCATCTGTATCAATTTCATCACCATTATTTATGGGATTTTGATTGTTTAGCAATGCAAATACAGGACAGTTTGCATTGGCCAGAAAACAATCATAGTATCCAATGATATTATTGCCATCATCATACCTGTAATTAGAGAAGGATAACGCTCATTTTCGCTAGGAAGGTTAAACATTAATAATCTGTCTTATAAATTATTTTGTAATATAGTACCAGTGAAGATGCATCATCTATTTTGCTTTATATAGAAATGATCATAATAAGATTAAATGTAGACAAAGCTGTGTTCGAATAAAAAGAGATTTTGAGTATCACACACAGCTAAACAGTGAAACACAATTTTTGTTAACGCAAACATCATAATTTAAGGTTAACGTTTATTATTATCATTTGTATTAATATGTGTAAATATATAATTGTTTTCTGTATGTTAATATAAATAAAAAGATTTGGTTTGAGTGACAATGAGACAACTCTCCATCCAAGTCGAAATGTATTAAAAGTTAACAATTATAGGTCAAAGTACGGCCTTCAACACGGAGCCTTGACTCACACCAAAAAGCAAGCTATAAAGGGCCCCAAAATGACAAGTGTAAAACAATTCAAATAGTAAAACCTTGGTAGCATTCATTGTTTGTTTTTAATTTGGAAATGACTCATGGTTTGTAAATGACATGATTTTAGCTCGTGATTGTAACTATCGTAATTAGCTTGCCACGTCCTTAGTGGTACCTGTAACATTTTCAACAAATCTTTTTTTATCATTTGCCTGCAAAGAACCGCAGGAGTGTTAATCCATAACATGGAAACACCTTTTCTTAAGTTACAAGAGTAACCAAAATCATCAAAAATATAACAAAACAGACACAATCAGGTTAAAAGACAAAAAAGGAAGAAAAGAAAAACAGCACACATATATAACATAGAAAACAAAAGATTGAGCAAAAAGGGGAAGCATTTCTGATTGACATGTAAACACGTAAAGGATACAGTCATAGATCATGACAGACAATGGACAAAACTCGACCAGGAATACATACATACTCTTTCTGAGATGGAGGGATGCATTTTAGTAGAAGTTTGACCATTTCATTTGAAAGAAGAAAAGGTAGCTCTGATTTTCTTACGTATTAATTATGCTCTTATATCCTTTTTTCACGTATAATGCATAGCCCTACATGTATGTTAACAATAAAGGTATAATGTATATGATTATGTCTTTTTATTATTTTTTTATGTTTAAAAATATGTACCGCTTATCAGGTTGTTTGCATACTGATATCGTAAAAAATCAGCTGCGAGTCACAATATGAAGCTTTTCGTCGAGTGAACGCAGCGAACGAGTTCAAAAAGGCTTTATATTGTGTCGAGCAGCTGATATTCTACAATATCAATATGCAGATAACCCGATAATTGATTCATCGGCTTGTATTTGCGTATTTTGTATGATAGAAACAAGTGTTATCTTTGTTCATCAGCAAACCGGAAGACGTCTTGATAGGTTCGGGTCAAACGTATTAACGTCGGTTCAAACATTATGACGTAGTCGAGTCCGGGTCAAAGTTATGAAGGCCGGGTCAACGTATTTGACGTCACAAAGCCGTGATAAGCAATTTTATTAAGAGCTGAACAGAGAGATATAGACAGTGGGACGACCGATAAATATATATCATCAAGATATTTTTGTCTTTGATAAACTAAGTTTTTTTTACTAATTTACACTCGTAAATTTTAATGATAAAATAAGTCCCTTGTCTTTTTTGTCAGATACTAGTAACTAACCAACTTCGCAGTATAGCCAGCAAATGTTTACCTTTTTTACTATCGTTTAATTTTTTAGTATACATTACAATTTTCAGTCGATCTGTCATAAAGTTAGATGACTGGATTTAGAGAACCCCCCTCAAATCAAACATATTAAGAAACAAAATGTACAAAAATTATTAAATAATATAGGACCTCAAGTGTTGACAGGATGAGATGCATCACGTTACTTGTACAATCAATAATTCAAAAATACTGAATCAGTAAACAACAACAACACGATTTTTACAGTACTTAAGTACAACTTCATTGTTGATTTGTACGGTTTAAGCTATTGTTTGGAAGCGGTTTTTGATTATAAATTACTTCAGGTTGAATAATTGTGTGGATCATCACTTGAGACAAGAATCTAGAATTTTGATAGGACTCTGATTGATTCAATTTGTAACAACAACATCTGAAGGAAGAATATAAACTGTATTATCTGACCATCCAATTATGTCTTCATGCACCACAGCTATACGTTCATATTGTGTCAAGTTGTATTGAATATGCTTGCCAATGTCTTTCGCTGAAAACAAAAACAAAATCAACAAATTATTTCTTAGATTTTTCTACATATAATTGAGAATGGAAATGGGGAATGTGTCAAAGGGACAACACCCCGACTAAAGGGCAGAAAACAGCGGAAGGCCACCAATAGGTCTTCATCACAGCGAGAAAAATCCCACACACGGCGGCGGGTTTCAGCTGGCCCCTAAACAAAATGTGTACTAGTTTAGTGAAAATGGACGTCACACTAAACTCCAAAACTTATAAATGAACTAAAATTAAAAAACATACAAAACTCACAAAAGGCAGGGGCTCATGAATTGGGACATGCGCAAAAAATGCGGCGGGTTTAAACATGTTTTGTGAGATCTCAACCCTACCCTATACCTCATACCTATAAAGCAAATGAAGAATAAACAAACGGACAGCAATACGCACAATAAAACTCAGTCGAAAAGAAGTCTGTGTACGATGTCAATATAGGTAACAAAAGAAACTAAACAAAATGGCAATGATACATCAATTAACAAAGGACTACAAGCAGTTACTGACATGCAAGCTCCAGACATCAATTAAATTGATTAAAGATTACATCTTCATCATATGGAAATCAAGCACAATCCCTCCCATTAGGGTTTAGTATCATACCATCATAAAATATAAGAGAAGAACATAACCCGTATCATGCCAACAACTGGTTTTAGAATAAATGTGTTTATTTCCGATGCAAAGACCCTATGAGTGAATCAATATTAATACCAAAATATGCCATCTTTAATGCCTTGACAACAGTATCGTAACGATATCCCTTCTGAATAAGTCTGTTTAAAGGTTTGCTTAGCTTTTGAGGTGAAAGCCGACATGTAAGTGCTTGGTATGGAACATTATCATACAAGATTGGACGTGAAATACCTGAACGTATAAGATGTATGCATGTTGATTTATGTTTACGAATGATGTCCTTGTACCAATGATAAAATTTGGTAAATGTTTTGACTAGTTTGTGATATCGAAACCCCTGGTGTAATAATTTTCAGTAATATAGAGATTTCTTTATTTAAAATCAAATACGTTGTTAATACACGAGCGAATCGAACAAGTTGAGATATATAAACACCATAAGATGGTGACAAGGGAACGTCACCATCTCAAAATGGACAATTAACAATAGGAAATGAAAATTTTTCTCTTTTATCATAAATTTTGGCATTAAGCTTCCTGTTAAAGATATAGATATCAAGATTCAGGAAAGGGCAGTGTTCATTGTTAGTATCAGCTTAATTTAAAGTCAGTTCAGCAGGATAAATCTCTTAAGTATACATACTGAAGTCGTCATTATTGAGAGCCAATATATCATCCAACTATCTAAAAGTGTTATTAATTTTTTTTATCAAATGTTGTTTCGATAGGTCTTTGCTTATTTTAGTCATAAATTGTAACTCATATCAATACAGAAACAGATCTGCAATAAGTGGTGCACAGTTAGCCCCATTGGAATTCCGATAACTTGACGATATACGGAATCGCCATAGCAAACAAAAATGTTAAAATAAAGTAAAAATTGAAGGGTAGTTATAGTATCAAAGAAGGTCCAATTGACATAGTTCTTTTGTTTGTTGTTACTAAAAAATGACTTAAAAGAGTTTGAACATATATATTCGCAATCTGGCTTTGGAATTAGGTGTGTTAATTTATTTCATAATAAGATTATGAGGCAAAGTGGTATACAGGGTAGAAAAATCAAAACTTTGAACAGATATCACCAATATAAGCATGCAATTTATCAAGTACTTCCAACAAATTTTTGACACTTAAAAAGTAATTGATAGCACTTTTTTCAAAGACCTTATTTAAACAATTTATAACGATGTTTTTGATTGTACCAAGTGTACTGGTAAGTAGAATAGACAGTTTAGTAGTGGAACAATGGCTTGCAGACGAAATAAATTTATATTTGTAAGGTGTTCTGTGCAGTTTCGGAAGCCATTACACAGTTGGAACTGTCATTGCATTTGGTTCTGCTTGAAAAGAGGTAGCTAAAAGTTTATGTTTGTTACAGATGTCATTTTCTGAAAATGGAGTCAGTTGGAATGTTGGTGAATTCGTGATTTCCTTTTGCAGAACCTCAATGTAAAATTTACATCAAACAATAATGATATTATAAGAAGCCTTTTCAGCCGGGACAAAAACAAATTCCTTGTCGAGTTCTTTTAGCTTATGTTTGATACGAGAAATAGGGCTATTATGGTTGTTGTTAGGAGTAAAATGTTCTTTGAAATGTTTTATACGAATATCAACTATGCTCATTACAGAATTAAAAAAAGAATCTAAAGATTTTTGTCAACTTTTTCTCGTTTTATCCATTTCAAGCAGTAAGTACATAGTGAGTCGTGGATGATGTTACGACACTCATTCCAATTAATAATTGAAGGGGGACGATATTTAGGTCCTTTACTGCGGAATGATTTCAACTCTCGGTCATGAACGATGTACATCTAAATAACAAAGGAGTTAATTATCTTTATAACGTCAAGTCAACCGCCTGAATCAGTTAACTTCCTATGAAACATTCGATAATTACATGTAAATATCGTTAGCTGCTGTCATAATACTGTTATACAGCATAAAGTGTAATGAAGGATTTAGAAAGGTTCAAAATAATAATATCCTTTGTGATGATTTATTGGCATACTATGAAATACAAATCGCAAATCGGGGTAGGTCATAGCACCTGACAAAATCTAACACTTTACTATA